CCCCAAAACCCCAAAACCCCAAAACCCCTTAGTTCTTTTTCGTAAAAAATTAGTTTTGTGAAAAAATTCTATTGATATAATTTAATAAGCATTTTATCTATTGTATAATTATCTAATTTAGAGACTGATCTATAAATTAAGTAGCGAATGACTATTTATATTTCAACTAGTTTCTTTTAAACTATTACTTTGAAGTAGCTTTATTGCAGATTTTAAGTTTCTTAAATTGTCGTAGTTTTCACCTTTATACTTTTGATACAAGGTGAATTAACTTACATCAGAGTCAATTACATGATCACCGCAGTCTACAACAATTACTTAATCTGAATTTCTAGTTGGGAGGAGAATTGAAAGATCCTTAATTATTGATTCTTCATATATGAGACAGTACTTATCAGTAAAAATATATGAGAACATATTCTTGAGCTCTTTAAAATGCTGCTAGTCAAAGATATTAGTTACTAAAGAGTCAGGCAAGCATGAGTATAGAATTAATTCTGAGTAGCACTAGAGATCTTTAAGGTTTTATAAAAGCTATCTTAAATTTAATTTCATAAATACCTAAGCAGTTTTAAATAACTAAAGCTTACTATTTGCTAAGACTGAGGTGCAATATTAAAGCATTTTATATCTTCATCTGAAAGATCAAAGCCATCAGATTTTGGGCTAATCACGTGCGCTAAAATGTTGTATAGCTCAAAAACAAGTGTCAATTTCCCTGTTAATGATGTTGTTTATTGGATTAAAATTAGTACTTTTTGTATAGTTGGGATAAACAGTTGGTTTATTTTGATTTGTGTTTTCTTTACTTTGTTTCAATTCATCATTCTAGCTTAGGTAAGCATAATATATAATCTTGTTGCTTGGTACAAGATCCTCAAAATCAAATATCTTTTTTTTCTTCTCTTCTTTTTAGGGCTATTTAAAAGTTTAATAGAATAATTTTACTCTGCTTTAATTTAGGTTCTTTAGATTTAGACTATTAAAATTTTAAGAAAATTTAGACCTAACTTTTCTATTATTAAAACTATATTAAGAGTCTTCGTATTCCTCCTTTGGTTTATGTTTGGGAGTATTAGTATTTTATTTTTTAAACTTTGGTGTGCCTGTTTACTCTAACTGATCCATTGGAATGTTAAAGTTTGAAACCTTCTTGTTCGTCTATCATCTAGCTCCCTTAGCGAATTTATCTGGATTCATCTCTTAAATTTATACTGCAGGTGTAGGCTATATATCATATATCGAATCAAGTTGACAATGCTATTATTAGTGATTCTGAAATTTAAATATCTGCTAACTATTAGGATTAACAGAATAGTTGCCGATTTCACTGTTGTTGTCTGAAAAATCCTCTATCTATAACTTATCTTGTAGTCCATCTTTATGGTTATGTTTTAATTACTACTCCTGTCTATTATTTTTGGAAAATTCTTTCAATGGAGATTGTTATTCTACCTATTAAATATGAGGGCAAGTTAAGATTTAAACTACTTCATTAGAGCTATCAATCATCTCATTACTAGCTTTACTTATTGGGTTATCTATTCTTCTAATTTGTATTGATTATGACCTCTAATTAATCTCAAAGTCAAGAAATCCCAAGTGAGAACCTTTGTTTAAAACTAAAGGATTTGCTTTGAAATTTTGATAGCAAAAGTCTCTTGAGACCTATCAGATCATTTAATCATTTAAATTATCATGCTCTTCAAATTCTTGACAGTTTTCATCGATATTCCAGGTATCTGCCTAATGGGCTTGAAGGTGGATCATCTTATTATAAGAGTTTTTATAAAATAAAAAATTGTATTAGTTTAAGCAGGTAACATCTACTAATATCTGGATAAATATTTAGTAAAATTTCTTTCGCTCAAATTTCCCTCAATTTTGAATTAAGGGGTTTTGGGGTTTTGGGGTTTTGGGGTTTTGGGG